AGGTCCCTTCCAACCTCGACCATTCTGTGATTCTGCAGAGGGCTTGGATGTATGGACACCTACCCCAGAGCCCTGCAGGAAGGTTCCTGTACCTCTCTTGTGATGTTTTCCGCATTTCCCTGTGGCCCAAGATGTGCTGCAGTCTCTTGTGGATACAAACATTCTCAGATAGAAGTACTGAGATAACAGTCTTCGAGTAAATCTTAGATGTTGCAAGGAGAAATAAATGTTGTTTAAAATATTAAGCAAACTTTAAGCAGATGTAACTTTTGCTTCTAAAGCCAGAGGAATATTGCTTTTAGATTTTAATACAACAGTTTATTTAACATCAGTCTTAAAAAGCTATAAGCACAGCTTATGGTGATTTTGTTTTTCTTTTTTTTACTTTTCTCCTCAGTAGTTTTTCTGTTATTCACTGTGCAAGCGATGCTTTTCCCGTTAATTATTACTTGAGAAGCTTCTATGTTGAGTTCCTTAGACAGAGCGAAGGTTAATTTAAGTCTGAGGGCTCAGTTGTTCATCCACATTTAAAGCTGTACTGTGGGGGACCTAAATTACAGATAGAAGGTTTACTTTAAAAACTTGCTAAATCTTGCAGTTCACTTGCCTGGATTGGGCTTTTTAATTTTAAGTAAGGTATTTGCACTGGAGGAAATTGGGCCTGAGAGAGCCATAGGAGTGGGAAAATAAAATAATTTTGAGGATGAGATGCTTCTAATTAAAAAAAAAAAGTTTATTTCGTTTTAATATTACCAAAGTTGATAGAATATTTATTCAGCCATAACAGCGTGGCTTTTGTATAGAACTGTGGTCATGGAGGCACAAACTTACTTTTCATGAAGTATTCTTTAAGTATTGATAGGATAGGCTATGATCTGTCTTGCAAATATTTGTCAGCATAAGTATTTACATTTCCAAGAGGCTTATTATTTCTGTGAGTGACTTAGTGCCTATTGTACTATTTTCTCTTTTTTTCTCTTGTGACATGCTTCAGTGTTTTGGGAAGACTCTTCATACTACGTTTGTTTAAAAAAACAAAAATCAGTTAGTGAGACTCCATGATTGGGTTTTTATGTTTAGATGGAATATTCAGAAGAATAAACAGAATGCGCATGTGATGGGTTTTGTTTGTTTTTGTTTTCCTTTTATCATCAAAGAAGTCTGGAAAAAAACCTGTCTCTTGAAATCTGGAAGGTTTGTTTGTGGTGTCAAAATATTTGGCCATTAATTCTTTGTATCCCGTTATGAAAGATGTGGATCTTGGAGTGATGATAGGAAGGCAGGAGATGCCAGAGTATAATTAAAAATACCAGGTTATTGTCATCACTGCTGGCAACTTGCCGTAGTAGGATTGGATTTGAATTCTGAAAATTTAGTGTAAAAACTAGTAAGGATGAAGCCTTCATCGTTCCTCTGTTATGTTCAGATGAAACACACTGCTGTGTTAGAGTGTAGGCTAAGAGCTGTGAGGAAGAGCTTTTTTTGTACAGCTGCAAGGAAGCCAAGAAGTGGTACAGTGGCCAACACGGTGGTACTTTCATCTTCCTTTGGTTTGTGTATTTCAACTGATGATTTTCACTTAAAGCCCAAACCACATCCCCCCAAATATATAAAGCAAATACTTATAGCCCTGTTAAAAATAGTCATTTGGGGCATTTAATTAGTAAATAAGTGCTGCTGCTCCTTTCTTTGACTACTCACTGTGTGAGACCTTCTTTTTTTTCCAAAGCAGTTAATTTTGAGCAAGTTTGCTAACCGATGTGGTGTTACTTTGTGCCAGTGATGCCAGTGAGCAGATGTTGCAGAGCGTGCAAAGCTTTGATTGCTTATGAAACCAATCAGTTACCACCCGAAGAGGAAGTTTTAAAGAGCTTTGTACCAAAAATTTTAATGCATAAACTATCACCTCAGGACTGAAGCCTCACACATTTCCTGTATTTCTGTCATTAACAGGTGAACATTATACCAATTATAGGCAAAGCAGACAGCATTTCTAAAACGGAGCTACAGAGGTTCAAGGTCAAACTCATGAGTGAATTGGTTACTAATGGTGTCCAGATCTATCAGTTTCCAACTGATGATGAAACCATTTCTAAAATTAATGCCATCATGAATGTAAGTAAATGGCTATAGCATTAATATTTTTGTTCTAAAGCACCATCCTTATTGCAAAGTTCTGTTCCTGCTCTTTCATGGTTATTTTGAGGCTTAAGGTTTTGCATTTGTAACAAGCTGCCTGTTTGTTTTTCTCTGTTCTTACGCTTGAGGAAAAACTCATTTGTTCTTGTGTTCCTTCTTCACAAATCCTTGTATCCCTCTGCTGTTAATCCCTTGTGTTTTAGGAAACTTTTCTTATTTTCCCTGCTTACAGAAAATCAAAGGGAATCCCGCTCAAATCATTCTAATTTGTGGTTAATCAATATATAATTCCTAACAGACAGATTGGCTTTGCTCTTTTCCTTAGCGAATGCTACCTTACATCTGTTAGGGAGGATATTTTTGTCACTCTGTTTTTCGCTTATTTATTTACTTATTTTTTAATGATGGTGAGTCTTTTTTTTCCATCTGCTTTCTCCTTTAGTTTGTTACTTTCCTTCCAGATTTTCTTTGGAGATAAAAATTGAGATAGCATTCTCACATTATTTTTTTTAAGGAATTGTTTGGCTTCCAGATTGTCCTAGCGGTAGCTGTCAGCTTAAACTAGGCTTGTGAAGCGACTCGCCAGTCTTCTGAGCCCACTGTTTGAATTTGCTGTTCGCATGCATATGTTCTCATCTTCAATTTCAAAGCAGGGAGAAGGACCTGGTGTGCGGAGGGAATAGGGATCTGCACTCCCAACCTCTGTCACTTGCGGGTAGTCTGCTACTGTGAGGAAGTTTTCTTTTTCTTTTTCTTTTTTTTTCCTGCAAGTTGGCCAATTTCATGTTATTCTAATGATTTCTTTTCCAGTTAGTGGTTATTTTTTGGACAGTAGCTGTGGGTCAGCCAGACAGTACCCAGGCTGTCTTTCTGGCCACTTGGCAGCCCGTATGCGCTCGATGGGTGATTGTGCTAAGCTTTGAAGAGCAGGAGGATGTTTCTGATCTTCTGCTGAAGCCTCAGAGCTCCCTTGTGCATTGGCAAGCTGGGACCTCACCAAATCACAGAATAAGGTTGGAGGGACCTCCGAAGATCATCTAGTTCAACCCCCCTTGCTCAAGCAGGGAAACCTAGAGCAGGCTGCCCAGGACCATGTCCAGTCAGATTTTGACTGCCTCCAAGGAGGGAGACTCAATAGCCTCTCTGGACAACCTGTTCCAGTTTTGACCACCCTCCCAGTAAAAAGTTGTTCTTATGTTTAAATGGAATTCCCTGGATTTCAGTATGTGCCTGATGCTTCTTCTCTGTTGCTGGGCACCACTGAGAATGGTTTGACTCTCTGATTTTTACTTTCCCCATCAAGTACTTATACACAAATACCTTTCCCACCCATACACCCTCCATAGCTGCTATTTCCAGGCCGGACAGTCCCAGTCCCCTCAGGCTCTTGTCATATTTGAGATATTCCACTTCCTTAATTTTCTTGAGGTCCTTTGCTAGATTTGCCCTAGAGTGCCCACATGTCTCCTGTACTGGGGAGCCCAGGCCTGGACCGAGCGCTCCAGACAGGGCCTCTCCAGGGCTGAGCAGAGGGGCAGGATCACCGCCCTCCACCTGCCCCTGACGCTTCCTCATTCAGCCCTGCCTGCTGCCGGCTGCCCTTGCCACAAGGGCGCATTGCCGGGTCGCGCTCAGCTTGCTGTCCACCAGGACAACCAGGGCCTTTCTGCAAAGCTGGTTTCCAGCAGGTTGGCCCCAGCCTGTCCTGGAGCATGGAATTATTCTTCCCAGGGTGCAGGGCTTGGCATTTCCCTTTGCTGAACATCATGAGGTTCCTGCCAGTTCATTTCTCCAGCGTGTCACGGTCTATCTGAATCACAGCACAGCATTTGCTGTCTCAACCACTCGGTCCAGCTTTGCATGGTAGTTTGACTACTGTATCGGTAGTTTAACTATCAGTAGCTTGATTAGTTAATCATTTATTAGATTTTTTTTTCAGCTTAAACTGCCTTATGGCTACAATCTTTGGATTTTCCTGAAAATATATTTTTCTTTTCTCCCATTTTTTCCACCATTTGGTTTGCTCTTCTTACACAAGAATGCTAAGAGATAAAGCTGTATGGGTGTAACTTTTACAGGGACATTTACCATTTGCTGTAGTAGGGAGTACAGAAGAGGTGAAAGTTGGAAACAAAATGGTGAAGGCTCGTCAGTACCCTTGGGGCATTGTGCAAGGTAAATGAATTCGCTTTTTTTTTTTTTTTAATGAGAATTAACTTTTCTGTTAAAATAAAAAAAATACTAAAACTATAAAGGAGGGCTTATATTTGCCAGTCTTCCACGTTGTTTGCATTTTGCATCAACAGTTTAAAGAATTTAACAGTTAATATTTGAGGTATGTGGTAACTGGTACTTGGTGCTTCATGAGCACATCTTTGGAATCAGGCTGTGAGATGGTATGTACAATACTTGGATAAGTTAATATTGTAGAAGTAGCTCCAGCAGTGCTAAATTTTAAAGATATATTTTCATTGTTAGAATACAGAACCAAACCAAGAAGTTTATCATTCAACTCAAACAGAAAATCATGAAGTATTGGGTCATGCTCACCAGTTCTTACATTTAGCACTTGTATGTGTATATCGATACTAAGATGAGCCTGAATATAAGTATTGCTTTTTTTTTTTTTTTGCAGAAAGTATATTCAATTAACAAATAAATACAATAAATCCGTGCTTTTTAAAATGTATTTTAACAATTTTGCTACTTGTTGTTAATAATCAAATCTCCTGCTTTTAACTGAGCAGTGGAAAATGAGAACCACTGTGACTTTGTAAAACTTCGTGAGATGCTGATTTGCACAAATATGGAAGACTTAAGAGAACAGACTCATGCCCGACACTACGAGCTGTACAGACGCTGCAGGCTGGAGGAGATGGGCTTCAGGGACACCAGCCCTGAGAACAAACCCGTCAGGTGAGGGGCTTCCATGGTCAGTGCTGGGCCTCACTATCTGTTCCCTTCACATTTGCCTCTATCAACGTGGAGTAAAGTTCACACATACATAGAAAAGCTTTTCCAGGGGAGAAGGAATTGCTTTTGTAGCAAAGTGTATTTCCACTCGCTCTCTCATGCTCTGCATACTGGTCCATCAAGATAAGAGCCTTGCTTTTAAAGACATACAGATTAGTTATATTTCCAAAATAATACTGTTTTATAATAAAGCTAAGGGTTTTAATTTTCATTATGGAGAATCTTTATTTTCTTTAGAAACATACATTTTATGCCTTTTAAATGACTTTAGTCACATATTAGCTTGCTGTTTTTACTTTTTTAATTGGGGTCAGAGTTCAGAAGGATCTGAAGCAAAAACTTTTCCAAAATCATTGATCACATTGTTAAATTACCACCTGGTCTCCCATAATGCCAAATGTCTAGCTTGATTTTTCAGATCAAGAAATGCTTTGTTAGACTCTACGGAAGGTTAATAGAGGATTCCAAAGGAAAGTTAAGGAAAGGCACAGAGACACGTAATTGTTTCATGTAATAAAGCTGCTTTCTACGGGAGATATTTACTATTTTTCATCTGGCTACATAATCTTTTATTACAGGTTCTGTAATTTCCTGTCTTCCAACTACTCTCTTCCAACAACTTTATGGTTGTTTCGTCTGTTAGAGCAGACCGGTCAATATGTATCACCTAAAAGTGTCCAAGGCTACTGCACTTGGAAGGTCCATGAGGATACTCTCCCTAAGTAAGGAATATTTAGGAAGTATGGAAGGACACTAATGGTGCAGTTAAAAAGGTGTAAGGACATAGGCGGAATTTTGGGGTATTGCATTCTTCGGATCAAGACCACCAGAACATAAAATGTCATCGACAGAAATGAAAGCTATTAATTCTGTTGGCATAGAAGTGTTGGTATATAATCATTATGATTGGAAAAGACCTTTGGGATCATTGAGTTCAACCATAAGCCTCTCAACACTATACCTGTTAAACCATGTTCCTAAAACATGTCCCATATCCTCTTGCTTCAGGACACCTTGTTTATATTGGGATTTTATAAAAATACATATTGGATAACCGAGTGATAATAATAACTAGCATAATTTAAATTCTTGAGCAGTTATAAACATAATGAATCTCATTCTTACACCTTTAAAAAACATCATACAAACTTTTTTTCTCCATGAAAAGAAGTCATGTTAAGTTATGTGGTAGGATTTTCCAAAAGGTGTTAAAGATTGCGTGTGACCAAATGCTATATCAGATTAAAAATTATATGTGATTAGCCATTTCAAAAATTAAGAATCTGGCATTTCGTGAGTAAGGGAGTAAATGAAACATTATCTAAGGCTAAACTTAGTCATATAGTTGTAATTTGGGTTTCAAGCAACCAATCAGCAATAGGTTTGGAAAGCATGTTGCTTCAAATTTTGCAATATGAGATTAACAGGCAGCAAGGTGCTTGGGAGGGTGGTTTGTGCATTTTGTGCAATATGTTGCAGTGCAGAGGTAGACAGACCTTTTCTATGGGTGGTCTAGTCTTGCATTGTGGATGGTTCAATTAGGTCTATTAGAATGGAGAAATTGCAACATTCCTGGATCCAAGCCGGTATCAGCAAGAGATAATTCATGAGACACTCAGAATGAGCAAACTTGGGGCACAGATGAATATTAATTTAGGCATGAAGAGGGCTTTAGGTCAAAAGAAACTTCTCTTTGCCTAGTAAGTGTAGATGTTTTCAAGGGAGGAGAGGATTATTGCTGCTTTGCAGTGAGACATTGTGAAAGTCTTTTTTTTTTTTTTAATCTAGTCTGTTTTGTTATGGAAGGGAACATTCCTCCTTTGAAACAAGAAAACTGAAGGGCCAGAGTCTGTTGAAAATAAGCAAAGGTTAATATTTATGTGTATACGTGTTCATTTGGAGTCTGTGATGTTAACCATTTTCTAGTTATTTCTCTGGGTTCATAATCATGATTTGCTCATCATAAACTTCTCAGTTATTTGAAATGGTACAGAATGCACCCAACTGGAGTTACCACTCTGGGCTTTAATTCTCCCCCAGATTTGTGTATTCAGACCTTACAGTTCTCAGTAAAAAAACATGTTTATTTCCCAGCCTGTATGATGAGGGAAAACAGGAAGAATTCAGGGCCATCAGTAAGCTCACATGTAGAGGAAGATTGATGTGACTGCCGCTTCCCTATTTGAGAACGGAAACTACCATATCTAAAAGAGTATTAAAACTTTTCCTTAACGGGTCACTTTAGGAATGAAGATCATTTGACCAAGTATAGACTTTTGCATTTGAGCCAAATATTTTAATCTCCTTATGGTGAGACTAAACGCTGTCCAAAATGCCTCTTTTACAAGTCTTCGGAGGAAAAATGGCATCTACTTGGATCTGCCACATCCTAAGTGTTGCTATGTAGCAACTTTGGAAGGCCACTGAGTCAAGGAACTATGGAATGCGCTAAAAATACTTATCACCAATTAACTTATACTTTTTTTTGATCTGATACTCCTTAAGTCATCTTGGAATGTTATGCATAAAGTTTTGTGTGATTTTCAGATTTGGTTTTTAATTTAAGTAAGTGAATGAACTGTAAAGTATTGTTCAAATATCTGTCTCATTTTCAGATTTGGTTTTTAATTTAAGTGAATGAACTATAAAGTATTGTTCAAATATCTGTCTTGTTGAACTCTAATGGTACAAATCAAATTGCCCCAAATATGCGACATTGCCTTCCGCCAGGAGTTGAATTCGGTTAATCAAGGGTTTACTTATGAACAGAACTTGTTTGATTTGCATCTTTGTTTTTAGGCATCCATGTCCTATATCTTACACAGATAGAAAAACTGTATGTCGCACCTATGCCTCTCTAGAAAGGTAGGTGATAGTGCTGCCATGAGGTAGGTGATAGATTAGTAAGGTGTACGCTTTCTTCAAAATCCCTTCTCACCCCTGCTTCAGAACCTCTGTAGGAATAAATTATTTTAAATCACTATCTTTTAACTTTTTAATTTTGCAAATGGAGTAGTACAGAGTATAAAATTCTAGGGGTCCAACACAGAAGAGTGAGAGTACCTGTAAACTCGTCTTTCTTGATGTGCTGTATCAAGAGCAGTGAAACCAGCCTTGGGTAAAGTAAAAACCTTTTTGCTATTTGCAGTGTATGCAGTTATGTTGAAAGGATAGTGTCAGCCTAAATTCTCATGAACTGTAAACTGCCCCCTCCCTTTAAAATGGAAGAATCTTCAGATGGTGCCGATATGCAAACATAAAAGGGGAAATTTGTTTTAACTTTGTCCCCACGATTTTCAAAACATTTCAGTGCGGCGGAGGAGAGAGAAAAAAAGTAAGTAAATTTTATCTTCTTTATACATGAAGTCTGATTACTTAGTAAATCCAGTGTCTGAAATGTTAATCTGGTGTGAATTTCAAAACAGGCCCTTTGTTGCTTCATCCTGGTAAACTAGCTTAGTTTGAGTCTCAAGGTATCCATAAAATGAAAAGCAGGCAGGATTGCAGTGCGTTAACGTAGTCTAGCATTGGCTTTAGCAGCCTTCTTGTCCCTGACTCAGCACGTTAGCAGTCACAGGGCCTGAAAGTGCGTGGTGAGGCTACGAGTACTTGCAAAGCCTGTGCTGCAGTTCTGTTGTTGTGCATATGTTGCCTAAATGTAAAGATAATGTGACTAAATATGCCTGTGTGAAAACTTACCCTCACCTCACTTGATAGCTGGAATTTGAGGCTTGACCCAATTTAGTTCACAGCTGGTGAAGAGAATTGGTCTTCTGAACTTGCTTAACTGTGATGTATGACTCCGATAAGATGGGGTAGGAAAGGAGCTCCAGCCTTGAAATCTTGCAAAGTTTTAAGTTTACACATGAAATTTCAAGATAATTCTTCTCTCTCTTTAGATTTTATTTTAAATATAAATAATAACTTTAAAAATAGGAAATTTTCTTGCCATAAACTTAAGTAGAGAGAGAATTTTCACCCTATTGCTTACTTAAATCATCAAGTTTTTGCATATTCTGTTCCATTTTTTTTCTATTTATAAAAGTAATAGAAGCAGTTAAAGGTGAGACTTTAAAAATTGGTGCAAAAGTGTGTGTGTGGGGGATGTAAGTGTGTGTGTGTGTGTACCTGTGTATGTTCATAAGATATTTAAATTTCCATTTTAAGTGCATCTAAATATATTTAAAATACAGTACAGTTTTAAATATCTGTCACACAGTTTTCGTTTCAGCGAAAGGCATGAGATAGCTGACCAAGGGTGATAGCTAGAGAGGATGGCTAAGTCAGCATTTGGGAAATGGTAAAGGGTGGAATGGGACCCAGAAATAGCCCCAGAATAAAGGGTGAACCCTACCATTATCTCAATCCTTTTGTAAGCCTTACTTCCCACAAGATACTGAACAGATTTCTTTTGTTTTTCTAAATTATAACCATTGGTTGGTCGTGATCCACCAATTCTGTTCTTGTGGAAGCTTCTGCCTTAAACAGTTGTATAATTAATTTTTTTTTTAATCTTATCTCTGAGGATGTATGCTTTCTAGAACTAATGTGCTCTTTGCTATATGAGTTGCATCTGTGTGCAAGCTGTGCTTTTACTTCCATGAAAAGACAAAGTACTAAGCAAGAAAGAAAAGCAGAGCTTTTTTGACAGCTTTGTGGTGGTAGTGGTGGCAACTATAACAAGAAGTATTTGAATAAATTACCAATATCTGTCAATTTGCGAGGGGGCTTTTGTATGAAAGTTCTTCAATTTCCACAATGCATTTTTTGAAGGAAAACAAGTGCCTTGCATATTGAAATGTATAGTTGAGTAATTCTTTTAAAAAAAGAATGTGAACAGAGGCACAGACTTACAAATAAAGATATTTTTTAATTACTTGCCATTTTGTTATGTTGCCAGATGTTGGTTCAGTGGCCTCGATTAATTTACATCTATATAGTCTCACATATAATTATGGAAAATATGGAGTACATTGGGTTTATGAGAGGGGATTCAGAAAGAAACAAGCAGTCTTGAGGTTTTTGATGAATGCTGGAAAGTAAGTCCATCTTTCAAATATTGAAATATTTAGGAAATGGCATTTATTATATATTTATGCAGCTCTGCCATGTTTAGATTCCGACATTATATAAGGAGTGATGTAGGTATTTTGAAGGTCTCATTTTCTTTGCTTTTTCATATGGAAATAATCAATGTGTTAGTTGTGTTAATGGTCAGATACTTTTTTAACATTGTATTTTAAATTCAGGGGTTTCACAATGTGGAAAGTCTTGGGGATTTTTCTGGCAATTTAATTGTCTCGTTAACAGGTAGCTTAAAGCAAAAGGTTATGCATGTTGGAGGCAGAAAGTTGTAATTCTGAATTTTAGAAGCTGAGATTCCTAAAATGCTGTAGTTTGAAATGTAGATTTCTTGGGAGCTGTTAGTTTAAATAATATTATTCGTGGTTGTTTACTTAAACAAAACTTGCAAAGGTAGGACTCTTCTTCTGGTTAGGTTTGTTTATAACTTTTTATGTAGGAAACTGTAGATGTTTATATTTCTGATGTGTATATTTCTGATTAAAATAAATTGTTTAATGAATGCCCAGGATTGGGTTTTCCACGGTGAACAAAACGGTGTCCTAGAGACTTGTTTACATTTTTGGACTTCAGTCTACAGGAGGCCTATGAGGCGAAGAGGCACGAGTGCTACGTTGAGATGCAGAGGAAGGAGGAGGAGATGAGACAAGTGTTTGTGCAGAGAGTGAAGGAAAAAGAAATAATATTGAAGGAAGCAGAGCAAGAAGTAAGCATTCATTCCTGTCTGTCTGGAGTTTGTGCCCTGGGATTTGGAACACTTGAGTATGTGGGAGAATCACATCAAGCCAAGATTTATGATTTCCTAATATTTAAATGGAAATAGTGCTTGGAGTCAGGAAGGGGTGGGTTATGCAATGCTAGATGCAAGCAAATAATTCTCCTCTGAAAGGAGGGAGCTTGTGGTCTAAAGGGGTGGTGGATAGGTGGGACAATGTGGTGGATGGGAACGGAAATGGAGTAGCAGGAGAGTGGTAAGTAACAAAGTTGTGTTTTTCTTAGCCGTCCTTTCTCAGTAGGCTAAAAGCCATTGGTACAGCATGTCTGCACAGTAGGTGTCTGATTCACTGTCTCCAAAACTAGCTTGTGGGACTTCAGTACCATTATTCATGTATTTGTGTCTCATTTCTTAGAATCTGTCTCACTGCAAACACAATCCTGTGCCACGTGCTCTAGGTGTCCCTGCTGGAGCAGAGGGGTTGGACTAGATGATCTCTAGAGCTCCCTTCCAACCTCAACCATTCTGGGATTCTGTGCGTTTCAGAGGAAGGCTGCTGGAAGACAAGGCTATATACTGGGGCTTCTAAAAATGACATTTTTGCAATTGTTTTCAGATTACCCTGGACTAGTCATTATAAGATTATAAAGTTGCAATTTCCTTTTAGAGATAAGTTCTGTGATGAAAGTTTAAAAAAAAAAAAAAAAAAAAGCACCATGACAGCTATTGTCTGAGATTCCCACCTTCTATCCCTCATCCCATGATGGATTGACGCTATTCTAATTTACGGAGTGAAGAAGGATTAAATCTTGGAAGACAGTAGTGGATAGGATAGTGGGGGGTGTACCCTTGTGTGACCACAGGTTCAGTGACTTCATATGAAGGGCAGCTCTTGTGTTGAGAGGTTGAAGGATTTCTTTTTTTAATCTTACCTATTCCCAAATAGCCTAAGCATTTTAGCAGCCAGTGAAAAAGCTCAACATCCTGCACCTTCTAAATTCATGTTTAATAAGAAATATGTCAAATAACAGGCAATATTGAACATATCCTGAATATGTTGTTAATGATTTGGTCCTATCAAGCCGGACTGACAAAACAGGGTTTTCACATCTACTTTCTGCTAGACTTTAACATGGTCATGCATATTTATATTCGTACACTGGGTTAGTTAAAAATGGAAAACTGCATATGTTTATTATCATCCAGTTCTGTACCTCGGTCTCCCAGCAAAGTTGTAAGTGTTCTGTGAGGTGTTTGGATGCATGTTTTAAATATGAAGAAGGTTTAATGCTTGTTTTTCTAGATCTGTTAGATTTGCTGTGCTCCTTGTGGAGAATAAAGTCATATGCAGTCCTTATCACTGTGAGGATATCTAATAAGAAGAATAATTGGCCATGTTCACAGTAGGTTCATTTGAGTTTTGTGCAGGGCCTGTGATACTCCTCGGTCTCTTCTGTCTGTGGTTTATATCAGGTGATTTCTTTGAGCTTCAGTCATTTTCACAGAATCAGAGAATGCTTAAGGTTGGAAGGGACCTCTAGAGATCATCTAGTCCAGCCCCCCTGCACACGCAGGGTCACCTAGAGCACGTGGCACAGGACACAAAACCCAAGCGGGTTTTGAAGATCTCCAGAGAAGGAGATTTTATTGATAATCACTTCTTTCTGGAGAACTGTTTATTTTTGATCTGATGAAGATACATCCTGTAGTAAATCTAATAATTCACTTAGTGATTTCCATGGTTTCCACTCTTGCTTTGTGTGAAGTAGCCTGGCATCCGAAATGAGAATGATCGTTTTGTAATTGGTTGTTTTTATGGATTGCTGTTTTTCAGTCTTGTTAACTGCTATTTCGTGTAACATTTAGTCCAAGTTCAGTAGCTGTTACTATTTTTGATTTTAGTGTTTTTATATTGTGGTATCACCACCTTGTGTAACTAGTTGGAAATGCACTTTCTGTGCTTGCTCTCAACAGATACAAGCTAGATTTGAACACCTTAAGCGATTGCACCAAGAGGAAAAACTGAAACTAGAGAGAAACCGAAGAACTCTAGAAGATGAAATGGCTTTGTTTGTTAAGAAGAAAGCTGCTGCTGAATTACTGCAAACACAGACATTACTGTCCACACCGATTAGCTTTAAGAAAGACAAAGACCGCAAAAAGTAAGTGCTCCTCCTGGTCATTGGGGTACCAGTAAAAAACAATCATGCTTTGTTTTTAAAACACGCATTTTAGTGACTTCTAGAAAAGATATGAATATGCTTGTATTCTGTTATGTGATAGAAGGGGAGAAGCAGGTTAAAAAATATCAGTGTGCTTGAATCACTGGTTCTAAAATTTACTTTTGGAATAATTCATGTGTGTTCTATGAACATTTTTTCTTTTTCCATGAAGGGACCAAGGTTTCCGACTTGAGCTCCTGTGCTTTGATGTCAGAGATGAAGAAATTGTGAATGTGCATGAACAAAGTGAGAGGGAGAAGTTAGAGAGGGAGAGGAACTCACCCAGGGAATTCCAGAAATAGTATTTGAATGCAGCACTCAACTTCTGAATGTAGGATATGTTAGTTTCATGAAGCAGTCTGCTGCTATCCTATAACCTATAGTTATATCTTCCTGTTACAGTTTTTTGAGGAGAGGGATTGGTAAAAGTGGCTGTAGAATTGCACTGAGTAGTGAATATGACTTGACATTTCCTTTTCAGAATATACTGATATTTTTCCTCAATATAACTTTTTTCCCCTCAAAGAAAAGCTTTAGTTAATGGTAAAATTTTAGAAATACATTTTAAAGTGGTCTTCAGACTAAATGTCCATTTTCCTCTTATATGGTTAATGAAAAAAAGTAAATAAAACAAGAAAAGAAGCCAATATTTTCCCATTTTGGTAGATTACAACCTCACTAGAGATAACATTTTCTTGATTAATGGCTTGCTGCAGCTGAAGGCAGTTGTTTTATGCAGAAATTAAGTGCAACTGCTAAAAAATGAAAAGTTTTAGAAGCCGCACATGTGCACGTATTTCACAAACGTCAAGAAGTTAGATTTGACTTTTTTTTGTGTGTGTGGTAGGAGACCGTCTTGTGGTTTTGCCAAAACTTGTTGTATTTTAAGAGATGTTACTAAGTTCTCTTTTCTTAGAATCCTTTTTAAAGGTTTGTCTGTGAAAGCGTAACCCTTAGTAATGATAGTCACATATTATAGCACAATGACCTTCAATTTTAGAGGGCTTTTAGATTTGTTTGCTCTGCTTTAGCTTTATTTCTTCAGAGTATGTTGTAGTTCATATGTTTTGTTTTTGTTTTTCTCTTCCAGCTTTACATAATACTGACGATAGAAGAAACAAATGTTGATAATTTCTCACAAGGAAGATATGATTCAGTGTGCTTGTGAAGGGGAAGGAGTTGCTGTTTTTTACTGAAAGAATTTGAAAAATGTCTCTTATATTTGCAGGCTACAGGAGAAGAAATTTTAAGTATGTATGGATATGGTGCTGTGATTACTGTCATGTTATTGCATCTTCATGGATTTTCTGTTATACAGCTGCTTTGTTATGCACTTGCTTTACATATGTGTTGTCAAATTGTATTCAGTTTTAATGCATTTTACAAAACAAAATGTCCATCCCATAAATTGTTTCACTCATAATATGAATTCTGTAGTCCAGAAGTATTCAGTGAATATATATCTAATATAACCTTTCTAAAGAGTTATTTTTATATGACACGGTATATTAATCTACTAAATAATACTTAATACTACTGTTAACATAATTCAACCACTTACTGATTTTGCTGACAGGGATTTATTTATATCCTTATAAACAAGCACTGTCCTAATTTTTGGATATAGACTTTCTAATGAAAATTTATCAGATATTTTTGCAGTGATGCTTTATTACGTGCTAGTTTATCTGACATTGCTAGTTTAGTTTGGAAAGTATCTACAACTTAGTGCTTGTGACTTCGTGGTCACATCAAGAAGCTAAGTTTTACAAAAAGTTTTAACTTCAAGAGATTCAAGTTAAAGGAAGTTTAAAATAGTTTCTATCTTTCTAATAGCTAAAAATAATTGAAAACATTCTGTAAAAGGTGCAGTTCTCTGAATTTGTTTTGTATGACTACTTTTAAATAAAATATTAACTTGAGAGAAATGAGACGCATTGGTTTTGTCTGTTTCTGTTGTTCTTCCTCATTTCCTGCCCTTACTATTAAAACCAGAATAACCATTCACATTAAATGAGAACACATATGTTGTTTGTAACAGCTCTCCGTGACTGTTACTGGTGCAGGTGGCTGTGCAGGGTGTTTGGGACAGGTAAGGATTAGGTGGAGTTTGCTAGTTCAGTTGTAGCACAAAATGACCTGAGAGAGACGGGGGGTTCTTTTTGTCCTAGTAACTCACTCAGGCAGCAGGGAGTTGTCTGTAGGTAGGGAATTGCTGTGATTATTTTGTGTATGTGGCTGTGCCTCCCGCCGCGCAGATGCCAGGCGGACACGCGAGGGCACAGCACAGGAGCTCACTAAAAATACCTCCTCCACACTAAGAATTAATAGTGGTCGTAAATCAAAGCTCCTGTGCCTCACTGTGGTTAACTTAGCTATGCAGTTTCTAACCAAACACTTGTGAGAGGTTTATTCTGCAGATAAAATGGTTCCAAGACACCTTTTTAAGGTCTCGTTGTTGTTTGTACGGTACCTTCCATAATATATTTTGTATACTCATTTTTGACTGTGCCTTTAAACAATGTTGCCGTGAGAAGACACGGCCAGGGTGCATTAATATTTTTGTCTTAATCGCCTACTGTTGACAGTACTGCATTTTTTGCCAACGTGTTTGGCAACGGGACCCTATTTACAGTTGCGTTGTGAAATTGCATAGGGAACGTACCGGACTTTAAAAGTGAAGTAACTGGACTGGGCTTAACCAGTTCTTTGCTCCTTAGTGGAAACAAGAGCTGTTTCCATAACACTCACAGCGTCTCTATGCAGAAAAGAAAATACTCCATAGAAAAATGACTGATCAAGACCTTTTAAAAGACTTGCGTAATTCACATTCAGTGAATCACTTCAGGAAGGAGCGTAACTCAAGGACAAGCAAACTATCTACCCAGGGTTTTTGTTCTTTAGCACTTTCTTGTAATCTAGACCTTAGCACCAAGGCAGCAAAGCAATGAGAGATCTGTGTGGATGTCTTCATGGTTTTAAACCAAAAAAAAAAAAAAAACAACTTCAACAATATTTTCACTAGGGTGCGCTCAAAAGACGTTGCTTTTCGTTTTTGTCAGCTATGGCTAGCAAGTGACGTAAGTAAGAATGTACTTAACTGGAGAGGATAAAGTAGTAAAAGTAACAATTTCCTAGGCTGTTTTCAGACCATGATCAATTGTTTCAAGGCTATCGAGATGGCTCAGAAACAGGAATGTGTTTTGAAACAGAATTATTATCGAAGCAGCCTTCTGCTCTGAAGCTTGGCCACCCTGGTAGCCTGTGACAACACAACCAGCTCGGAGGATGAAGGCAGAGCTTTGGCTGTGACTTATTCTGCCTTTAGCAAAGCAGGGCACTTCTGTGGCTGCCAGAACTTCAACTTGTGCCATCGGGCCCAAGAGGGGCCTCTAAATCTACCTCTGAGATAAACGTCTGGCAGAGTCGTACGAGGCTATCAAGATGGCTCAGAAACAGGAATGTATTTTAAAATGGAATTATTAAGGCAGTATTTGTTTTGTCTTTGGAGTTTAAAGGAGTGAGTTTTTTGGATTATTTTTTTTTCCTCCTCATTTTAGAGAAAAAAATCTCTTGGGCAGGTTGCTGTACTTTCTGACTGCTTCTCAATATTCAGTTCATTTATTCTCCCAAAATATATTAAAAATGGGACAATAGTGTTAATGTTTACAGATGAAAGATGAGACCATGGGTAGGGCTCAGATTTCTAAACATAATTAGTTTTCCTTTTTGTTATTTACACCCACTCAGTGGGAATGAGACACCCAAGTTAATCCATCATGGTTTTTTTTAAAAAAATGCAGTGTTGTTCACACAAAATCTGCAGTGAAGGGGTCATCCCCTGAACTTGTACGTAATTCCCAAACCTGCTGGTGTTTTGATGGATTGTTTCTAGTAAAACCATGGAGCTTTGGTGGGAGGTAAGCTATTTTGTGTAAAGTATGCAGTGATCCTGAGAGAAGAAAATGAACAAATTTGAGTAAATACCAAATTTTACTCATTGCTCCAATATGGATTTAGTGCACAAAACCAAAGGATTTCAGTGGGAACAAAGCCCCTGGGCTAGCAAACAACGGGACCATTTGGAAGGTGAGAGCGCAACGAAGAGGAAAACACTCCCATCGATCTCCGTCCCGCGTTTCCCTTCCCAGGAGGTCCCTTCAGCCCAGCCCTGGTCCGGCCCCACCGCTCTGCTCTGACACTGTCTCTGACTCTGAGACACTGTCCAGACAAACGGAGGGCATCTGGGCACAAACCTCTTTTCTTCTTTTTCCTTTTTTTTTTTTTTCCCTTCCTTTCCATGAGCGTGCAGACAACCTCCGGCACCCATCACAGAAGAGGAGACCCGAAGCCCAGTGCCTGGCTGCATCCCATGGCACAGCGGCAGCACTTTCCCAAGGTGCCAGGCAGAGCCTCGATTCACTACCTGGAGAAGTCCTTAGGACACGCGTGAGATCCACCTTTGCTCCTGGGGACACTGCGCCTTGATGAGCCCCGTTTAAAGATGGCCAGCAAAATGGATGTTTTCTCAGCTCTCTTCAAAGAAAGTAGGAAAATGCTAATTAAAAGACTGCATAGTATTTCTCTTGGCATACAAGGAAATGCCCAAATATTCAGATGGGATTGGAAGAGGCTCGGTTTATAAATCCAGTCATTCTAAACGTGGTCTTGGAAACTCAGATCATAAAATCCTGAGGGCACTGCTGACAGTATTCCTGGAAAGTGAAATGTAATTACGGTTGATGAAACAGCAGATTTCCCGAATAAGGGCTATTATGCCAGCAATGTGTTTTGAATAGTGGTATTTGGTCTGTGAGGTCCAGAGCGTTCCTCAAGAGTTTCAGTGGATGATATAATGCAGTTGTATATTGGCAGAGATGATTGTATTATTAAATAAAGATACTGCATGCGAGCTGTAAGTTAGCAATTGCTGCAAACAGTTGGCTGTGGTTGCTGCCAGGAGAAGTGTGCAAATAAAAGAGTTATAGGCTAGTGTGCTCATTGCTAAAAGCCATGTTCTGAAATTTGCTGCACAGGGTGTTAAAAAAAATAAAACTTACAATCCTATGAGTTCTTCTAGCAAAAGGCAAAACATGCACATGGAAGTATTAACTTCAGGTTTTGAGAGTTGCCTGGTATCCTATGCAGCTTGGAACCCTGCAGATGCATTGATGAGGCTGATGCATTGGAAAAAAAAAAAGAAATAGTTCACTTTTGGCATGAAACTAAGGTGAGGAATACTGAAAAGGGCAAGCAGACCGCCAAAAACTCTGCAGTGGCCAGACCTGTCACTGCCTGAAGGCCACTCTTGTGGAGGTGCTACCTGGTTTGCCTTAGTGCTGCTGGCCCAATGAGAGCTGCAACGTCTTCCCGGGGCTCTGCAAGCCGCAAACCTGCAGGTTGGTGCATGCCCGGCCTTGCAAGAAAGTGCCCGTAAGGAGAGGGATTCGCAAGTCTGTGCACTTTCAAATATACTAATATTACCCAGGCCAGTATGTGGTCAGGAACTGAACAGAAAGATTAAAAAAAAATTATCTGCAAACTTACAACCACACCGAATACATGAGAAGTACAAATGGGGACATCCTTGCCACGTGCGCGCACGCTTCTGGTCTCATTCCCAATCTGCTCAGCTTCAATGGCTGAAACCCTTAAGCTATTTAACGTTGTTGAAACCATACTTCACACAAAACATGTTGCTCCAGATGCTCAGAAAAAAAAAAAGCTGGAAATTAGAGCCTGAATTTGTGCATTTGTAAGCACTGGAACGGTTTGCATGAAAAGATTGTTTCTAGAGAGCGTTGCAATGTTCTTGGAAATGTTATTTCTTGCAAATGAAAAATGAATGGTGTATTGTGGTTGCTCTTATTGTAGGTCACCTATGCTAGATATTTTCCCTCTTTATTTCTTCCCACTGTATTTTAAATCACCTTTTAGTCTAGTTTATAGGAGCTGCCAGTGAGGGGTGCTAAATAACCAGTTGTGGATATGCTGCGGCTTGTGGAGAGGTGTCCTATTGTAAGCCAAAAATTATGGTTAAGTGTAAAAACAAACCCACGGGCAAAGAAAAACTGTGAAAGTCCCACTTTATCAAAGATT